CTGGGTGGTACTTGATTCAGTCCATCCTTCACTATGTGAGATGCTGCCCTTTCTGCTCGCTCAGGCACGCCGCAGGGCTCTGCGGGCACCCCAGCGAGCACACGTCCAACCTTCAGCATAAAGGCAGGCAGAATAAATAATGTGACAAGCGTCCGATCTCATATCCCTACGCAGGCAAGTCAGGAGAAAAATAAGAGATGTCTATTCATCCACGTTGTCGTTAAAGAGAAGAGAGGGTTTGTTCATTCCCATCACCCCACCTAAAGCACACCTCCAGCGATTTCCCTCCCCGTCCCCGAAAACAAACCAGATTATGTAGGCTAAAATGCAACACCCAGTCTAGTCACAAGGTGGTGGCATAAAGCAATTCAATACCCACGCAAAGCCCTTACTGCCAGCCTTGAGACTGCCCGGCAGGAGCGAGCTCGATGCCTTGCAGAGCTAGGACAGGCACAGGGGTCTGGAACAGCTTCTCCTGTTCCTCTGTTGGGACAGTCTCACTCCAGTGAAACGTGGGGTAGTTTGAGATGCAGCCGGTGCCTTCTCTTGTTGGTTACAGCTATTTTGAATGACTCAATTAACCAAACGCTTGTTTGCTGCTCCAAGGATTTGTGCCTTTTATTAGGTGCTATTCACAACTTTGATCTTACACCAGTGTCCTCATTTTCAGGAAGTGAACCAATAAACTGAAATACTTTGACTTTCCTTTGCAGCCTCTGTGTTGCAGTAATAGGACTTGTTCCACCTCCCCGGATAGGAGATGTAGGCCCAGAGGGTTGTGGCTAGCGAGTTTCCATCACTACCTGGAGACTTTCCGGATGCCCGGCCTGTGGAGCTGGAGGAGCCGAACACCCGGCAGCAGACCTCAGTCTCCTGCTGAGAGTGCTTAGCAGCCTTTCCAGCCCCTCAGAAATAGCCCACAGACCCCACAGGGTCAAAGTCTCTCTTCTATAGCACAGGCAGCGAGATCTAACAAATCACTTCAGTCAAACAAAGACCAATTGAACCTCAACTTTACGTGCAGTCTGTCACCTATGGAGTCCCCCTGTCAAGCCAACAGCTGTTTAATCTACCCTCAGTAGGGAAGAGCCAGCTGCAGAAGTTATTTGCAAGGAGCGCCCGCGCTCAATCCACAGCCAAGTTCGCCATCACAAGCCCTAGCTCTGTAGGCCAACGCCTGGGCAGGATGCTGTGCCTGAAGCCAGCGATGAGCCTGCTTCCTCCAGCCCAGCTCACGTGCACCATCGGAAAGCCAGGCCGGAAGTGCACCTGCAAGTACTTTATGTTCACAGTTACTAACCTGCTCCAGAAAACCAGGGCTCCTTAGAGGCGCACAGTACAAGAGATGAGGAGTCCCCAGTCGCGGCACAGAGCGAGAAAGCGCGCTTTCCAGGCAACGTGCTGGGCCAGTGCCACTCACGTGGGATGCGGGTCGGCTACCTGAGCTACCAAGTGACCTTATGGCACTGATGCAGTTTCCACACTGGTAGCCCAGCATTCACATAGGTCACAGGATCAGACCTGCCGATAGATCAGTGTAGACCACCCCCAACAGCTCAGACCAAGCCTAAGCACCAGCATTAGGAAATAACAGTTGGCTCCCAGCCTGCATCCCCCTCTTGCAACTCCTCCCTGCGATGAGCTGCCACAACAGCACAGAAAAGGCAAT